TCCCAGACCTACACCCCAGATCCCAAACCCCAGGGTTGGTCTCAGTGATCTGCTATCAAGAGACTCTCAGGAGATTCTGAGGCACACTCAAGCTTGAGAGCTGTCGTCCTCTTTGTACCAGTCTGAGTGCCCTGTCCCTTGATGTGGCCATACTTCCTGCCCTGCCTCTTCCCATGCTGATCCTTTCCTGAAGCTTCTCCCAGCAGTGTCCTGTTTGGCTGCCAGTGCCCAGATCCATCCTTCAAGACCAAACCTGACTTGAAGGATGGATCAGGGCACTCATCACTCACTTTTAGGAAGCCTCTTCTCTTTACCTTGTCCTATATTCCTGACGGTTCTGTGTTCTCTTTGTGATGATCTTCCTCATGCTTTATACCTGTTTTTTGCTCCCTCATAACAGTTTTATTGCTCTACCTATGTCATTGTTGTACTTGTCACATAAAGTAGAAAATTTAAGGTTGAATATTCATGTCTACCACATTTCCACTGCAATTCCTGCAACAGGGAAGGGTTTCATAAAGCATTGCATTGAATGGTTATTATTAGCTCAAAGAGAAACTGATTTTGATTGAAAAAATTAGGGACGATTGCTTTGGAAAAATAAATTTACCACGACAATTCAGAACACAATCATTTGACAGAGCAAATGGTTTTAAAGGATTCCATTGTTACCTCCTATCAAATCAAGAAACGTCTGTGCTGTGGCTCTCAATGGCTCCCTGACCCTTCAGTTACTTTCCATTACCTACCCCAAAGTGACTTTCCAAGGGTAGTGTTATGCCCTGTGTGGTCTGATCTCATGTGATGACAGAGCATCTCTGGGTGTGTGTGGCTTTTTTGAGCTCTAACTACATATAACTGTACTCCTTAACTGTCACGGCTCCCAGAGGTACCTTGAGATCCACTAAAACACCCAGATTTCCCCCAACTTCTCCAAGGCAATATTGGATCAGATGTTATATTAATAACTGAAAGAGAAGCATAAATATTTTATATCTTTGAACCTAGCTGCTTAAAATGGTTTTTAAAAATTTATTAGTGCATTATAGTTACACATACTAGTGGGGTTCATTTTCACCTATTCATAAATGCATATAACATAATTTTCTTCATTTCAATCCTCAGCACTTTCTCTTTGTCTTCCCTCCTTCCCTAAGCCTCTTACTCTACTCTTTTGAAATTGATCAAATTATGCTATGTGCATGTATGAATATGTCACAATTCATTCCAATTAGACATATAACTATAATGCACCAATTAAATAAATACAATGAAGACTAAAATGGGTTTTGAGCACTCACCCACTCGATATGCTTCATTTGAATCTAATGTACTGCAGATATATAAAAGGTCCTGCTCATTCTTTAATCTGTCAGGGTATAGGTCTATATCCCTATTCCACAATTCTGAAACACACACTCCACAAGCCAAAAGATTTTTAAAGAACTCATTTGATGACAAAAATTGACCTGAATCTATTTATAGGCTACATGTATCCCACTTAGTGTAATACTCCTGCATTTTTCTGCACAAATGTTTATTTGAATTTGTGTTTTTAGTGTTCACTGAAATTTTGCCACTAAATATTCAGTATATTCACTGTATCAATAATTTTTTTTTGGGGGGGTATCAGGGATTGAATTCAATAATTTTTAAAAATGAAATAAAAAACACATCTGACCCTAAGGGTAGCAGACAAGGACCTATTGTCCATGCACAGTATAAAGCTAATAATAAACAAAATTCACAGATAATTTATTTGCTTTGTGACATGGCCTGCTTTGGGCTGCTATAGATAAGGCCACTTTTGATTCTAGAAGTTCTGTGTTAAGATTGTACATCATTCAATCTAGATTATTTCTTAATGTTTCCCTAACACTTATAGGTTGAGGCCACTGAGATTGCTCTTGTCATTTCCACACTGAAGGGAAATACTCTTGAGAACTCTGTGACATTTTCAGCTCTCCACCAGAAGTATTTAATGTACTCCTAAGAACACAGGAAATCAAATCAGAAGACTTACTTCTTACACATGTATCAGGCTAGAATTTGCTGAGATAAAATTTTAACCAGTTTTAATATACTTTCATGAAATAAAGCAAAAATATTATCAAAATATTTTATTAAAAAATGTAGTCCCTACAATTCTTTTTTGTAAGTGGTGAGTTTAGCTCTTGTGTGACATTTTGTCCACACCAAAAATGATTTAAGAACATTTTCCTTCACATCTATGTGGACTCCAGTGGAGTATCTTGTAATACCTTTGTTGACTCAGAACACCCAAGAGTCAGGGCGAGTCTGCTCCAAAATCATTTCACCAGTTTTATTTTACAAGAAAACAATATGAAGCAAAGCTAACCTATTCTTTCTGTGGCTTTAAAGAACCTTATTTCTCAGTTGTGAAACAGACAGCCTGCCAGATCTTCCAGTGTATTGTATAAGAGATAATTTTTATAAAGTGCCAGAGCACCAAAGAGAGTCCTGGTAGATGTATAAGTATCTTCATGTGTTTATATTCACTACTTTCCATCAGCATGAACGGCAAGGCTCAGCTTCACTTAATCTAAAAACTTCATGTAGTAAAAATGTGGGGTCTCTGTTCCACCAGGCAGGAGCCGATAAAGGAGACATTGAGGAGGAAAAGTGGGAAGTTTGATTTCATCTTTGACATGCTTTTAGCTGGGAAACAGGAAACGTTCATGAACTGGCTATGGAACACAGTGGTTAAAATCAGAAGCACTGGGGAGCCCAGCAGTAGGAGCATTTTGTTTAATTCAGTTGAATGTATCAGAAGCTGGTGTTTCAGTGCTAAGAACATTTTAGCAGTTACTACCCCTGTAGCGGATGTAGCTTATGAGAGCAAGGGGAAGAATAAAGGGAAATTAGGCACCACTAGCAGAATTGCAAATGAATTTATAATTATAATCTCGATCTATCCACTGTGTAAACAGTTCCTCCTTTTATTAACTTTTGATAAACTCTAGGGACAGGCTGCATACTTCCATTGCATAGTATTTCCTTGAGAAGAGGAAGTGTGTATCTCTGATGGCTCCTGACAGAAGAGAAAAGAATCAAATGCTTGATTGAGAGGGAAAGTGAAATAAAAAATGAGAAATAAAAATAAAAAATGACTGTCAATTTCCTTCACCAAATTGTAAAAAACAGAACAAAGTGAAGACAAATTTTTAGTAATTTTCTAGAGACTTCTTTTTGTCCTACGGATACTTTAAACTTCCTCTCTATGTAATATATTGGGGAATACATGTGGTTCTGAAGTAAAATGTGAACAGGGTGGGTATAGGTAGAAAACTTACCATTGTGAATCATCATTGTGACTAGCTGTGCAAATATGATAATATTCTGTCTTTGTGAATAGGGCACTTGTGAATGAAGAATCTTAGAATACTTTAGAAGGGACATTTAAACAATCGCAGAAGAAAAACAGAAGTTAAAACTTAAGAGAAAAGTACAATATTTGATTCCTTCCCTGAGGTACCAGGACCTAACAAAACATGCAAAATAAATGGTGCTCACAAAGCCCATTTGAAGACACATCTTATTTGGTCCCCATCATGGAATGTTCAGGCATCCAAGCTGTCAGTTCCTCAGTTCTCCAACCTGAAATGCTCAAAGAATGGAGGTAGAACTTCTGCAAGTTTTTACCACATATTTATATGGAGTTATTTCTCTCCCCCCTTCCTACTAACTGGTACACAGTTTTACAATGGCAATAGTTGAAATGTTAAACACAGGAAAAAAGCCTGAGAGGTTGTTGGGTCAGGTATATTAAAATCAAAAAAATAGAATTATTAGGTATATACATAACAGCATAAGTGAAATGAAGTGACACAGCAGTTTCTGTCCAAAGCTGAGTACAAAAATCAAGTAAACAAAACATCTGGGGTGGTTTGTCACAGCTGCTCAAAGAGCTTCCTTAGTCACTTATTTTCCTTCATATCTTTACGTATAAATAGTCTCACACACATCTTATACAATTAAGATTGCTTAACCACAAAAGTAGCCCCAAATATGGCATTTTTACTTTCTAGAGTACAACTAAAATTAGTATTTGATTCTTAAAATAATATTCAAATCATCTGAAACAACAAAGGAAATGCTTATGTCTTAGAAAACCCTAAAAGGCTCTGCAAAGATTAAAATCTTAATTTTGGTTTTCAAAGGGCACTGTCAAATAAGTCTTTATTTCGGAAATCATGGAACTGAAAAAGCTACACTGTTAAAAATATTCCTCCGAGAGAGAGAGAGAGAGAGAGAGAGAGAGAGAGAGAGAGAGAGAGAGAGAGAGAGAGAGAGAGAGAGACAGAGAGCAGTTTCCCAGGCAGTTTCCCAGGTTCTTCCCTTGGCCCTGGGAGGTCTGAGCCAGCTCTGTGAAGTTGGGATTCCATGGGCCGCCCAGTTGCTGTGAGTGCTTGTCAATGGCGCTCCTGCAGGGGGCGCTCAGAGCACATGTGCTACTTTGGGGCTGCCATAGGCCTCGGATCTGATCAGCGTTCATCAAAGAAAAATGTTTAAAGGTGTAAGATTTCCTGGGCAGGAAACCCCACAAAACCCAAAACACTGAAGTCTGGGAAAGACATTTTTAAGTTGCTGACTTCATCTGTAATATCTAACAGGTTGGATTAGTAATTTTTTTTTTTTAAGTAAGGCAAAGCACAAAGAAAATACAAAATGTCAGGCTATGCATCTGGTTATTTATGCTTTTTAAAAATGAGTATAGTTCTGCTTTACTGGGGATTTGTTGCAACGGTCTCTGAACCTTTGATTTACACATCCAATTGTAAACAGGGTTGGTGTGGGAGCACTTTTGGAGAAAACAGGTGTTTTCTTCTTAAGAGGTTGTATTCTGATGTTGGTAGCAGAGCAAGGTGACCAGCTAAGGTGTGGTCCAAGCTGTATCCTGCTGGGCATTAGTCCAAGAGAACAGAATACATTTCCATGTTCACTGTGAGCTTCCTGAGTAATTTAGCCTCTACTTTCAGGAATCAGGCATGGCAAATGATCGCAGCATGTGAGATAACTGGTGCAACCAGTGACTGTCACTTTCTTTCACCAAATGAGGCAGCCATTCCTGATGGAGGGACAAGTCACCCTGAGTGCTAAGGCTGCTGCTGATACTGCCCTTCCGTGGCTGTGTAGAAATCATCCAGGACACTCTGTAAGTAATCAAACGTTGGTCTCTCCTCTGCCTTTTCTTTCCAGCACATCTTCATAATGTCATAGAGCTCATCTGGGCAGTTCTCCATGCGGGGCATCCGGTAACCCTGAGACAGGGCAGTCATCACATCAGCATTGGTTCTCCCTAAGGCCAAAGAGGAAAGAAAAAAGACATTTAGAAACCTGACAAGAGGGGCATGCATGCACTACAGAAGTCTTTTTGCTATTTACATCCTGCACCCGTGATTGAAAAAAGTTTTATTAAATCTATTACAGGTGGAAGTGTATCCTCCTAAAATTCCTATGTTGAAGTCCTAATTTCCAATCCCTCAGAATGTGATTGTATTTAGAAATAAACCTTTAAAGAGGTGGTCAGGGATGAGTTCTAATCAAATACGACTGGTGTCCTTCTAAGAAGAGGAGATTAAGGCACAGGCCCAGAGTGGTGATCACATGAAGACACAGGGACAAGACTGCCATCTACCAGTCAAGCAGAGACTTGGATAAAACCAACTCTGTTTATGCTTTGATCTCCGTATCCTTCAAAGCATGGACTTTGGGTGAAGTTCTGGCATCGTGATGGAGGTAATCTCTGGAATGATGTAAACAGGAACTGGAATGCAAATTTGGTTAGGAATATCTCTTTCACTTCTTTGAGTGAAAACCTCCAGTTGCATAAAAGTTCAGAATATGCCCACAGAAGATAAACCTTGCCAGATCCCCCTAACCTTACCACAGATATTTTCTTCCTTATTCTTCTGTATCCTTATTAGTGAGCACAAAGTCCTCACTAACTCTGAAGGAAACTGTCAGTGATGCAGATAAAGGCCAGACATACTCCATTCTGTCTGGAGAATTTAACTTGATAAAAGGAGTTAAGTGGAAAGAATCTGAACTCTATCTTTTTATGCACAAATAAGTCAACAAACCAAACAAATCACTAAATGACAAGTCTTTGTAGAAGAAAGAAAATATGGGGAGTGAGACCTCCATTAGACCCTGAGATTAAACTTGTTAGTTAGCACTTGGTCTGTGGTTTGGTTAAAGAAGGCAAACACCCATTGGCTGATGATTGCCTTACTAGACAAGCAATTTCATGTTCTATCCTTTAGTCTTTGACCAGTCACTTATTGATAATCACTAGAGTTTTTAAGAAAGCATGAGGCTTTAAGAGAAGCAGAGACGATATCAATGGCACACAGCCCAATGGGGAAGACACCGTAGGTGTTGGGGGCAGGAAGTGGTATCTGGAGTGATCAGGAATTAGCAGATACTACAAGTTGGCAGAGGTACACAGGAAGAAAGAAAATGTGGTTCAACAGAGGTTAGAAAGGAATTGGGGTTAGTGACAGGAGAGGGGACCCAGTAGTTCCACAGATTATAACAGTCTTTAAAGATACAGGGTTCCTGTGTGTGTGTGTGTGTGTGTGTGTGAGAGAGAGAGAGAGAGAGAGAGAGAGAGAGAGAGAGAGAGAGAGAGAATGAATGAGAACCAGCCACCTTTTAACCATAGTTGTCTACTCAATAATAGTTTTTCCAAAAAGGCAAACTATTATTTTTATTTATTCTTTTTTTCTCTTTTCTGCTGAGAATTTCTTGTAGTAAATTCACAAGTATGATTTTTTAAATTCTGATGCACACATGGCATTAAGATGCTAGGTACATATGGCAGAAGACTGCTAGAAAAGACATATGCTTCAGAACACTGTCATTTTCAAACCTCCTTTCTCTTTATATGAGCAAAGCAAATCAAAACCCTGTACCCAGGGACTTTTTCTTTTTACAAAATTCTTATAGAGATATATAATTACAGTTTTGATTTTAAGATAATGGAATGAGGATCTTTTGCCTCCCTTTCCATTTTTCCCCTATATTTCACCCCAAAATAGAGAACAAAAAATAGAAACTTAAACTTCATCTTTGATGAAACTAGGAGACATGTGGCAGCCAGAGGTAGAGTGATCTGAGCCAGGAGGAAGAAAGTATAACTACAATGCCCACAGAGAGGGATAACAGGCAGGATGGCCCACTAGGACAAACACTGGGAGGGCTCCCAAAGGAGTGGCCAGAACCCCTTAAGGGGGGTGCGAAGACGGTGGTCACAGGGAGGATGGTACCCAGAGCCTGCCTGGTGGTGTCTGGGTAATGTTGGAAAAACCATGCGACGGGTTGAGTATGGTGTGTTCCCTGTGAAACTCCCTGAAATTTGGTTGCCTTTATGATGGCGTTGGGAGGTAGGTCATTGGTGATTAGGTTATGAAGGGAGAATGACGACTTTCTCATAGGAGTACATCCTCTTCATTCTTGAGGAACTGCACTAGTTACCAGAGGAGTGAGTTGTTATCTAGTGAGGCCACCCTTCCTGTTTCATCTCCTCTGCATGAGCTCTTTTCCCCTCCTGCTTTCCATCATGAGTTGAAGCAGCACAAAGTCCTCACTAGAAGCTGAGTAGATGCCAGTGCTATGTTTAGACTTCTCAGCCTCCAGAGCTAAGAGACAAAATAAACCTCTTTCTTGTATAAGCTGCCACTCTCAGGTATTCTGCTATAGCAACAGAAAAGAGACTAAGACAAAACTGAATGGAGAAGCTCCATGCCCAGCAGGGAGGGGGAGTTCAGGACAGAAGACTGGGTATGAGGAGAAAGGTTAAAAACAAAAAAGTGGGACCCTGTGGCAAAGGCCATATCATGGAAGGACCTTGACTATATTCTTATTTAATAACAAGTAAAATGGGAAAAGGAACTCATTTTACTCAAGATTTGATTGTGTAATAATTTAGAACTATGAGCCACAAATAGTAGAATAAATAACCCCAAACTCCTAAAAGTAGATTCTCTTTGAGAAGCATCAACAGGTGGGGGCCTGTGGCAATTTTTCATTAGAAGCCTCTTTTCACTACCTGGCTTTTTAATGTGTATATATTACTTAGATAGAATAATATTATTTAATAAAAATGTCATGGTAAAAAAATTAGAAACTTCAGAAATTTATCAAGAAGAAAACTAATATAACCTTATTATCTTTTTGCTCAAGGATAATATCATTTTGGTAAATTGCACCTTTTAGTCTTTTTCCTTTATAATTATGTGTTAACTTTTTATGTGGCTTTATTATTTCTTTTTTTGTTTTGTTTTTTCTTTTCTTTTATTCCTTTTTGTTTTTAGTTTTACAAAACTGGGCCTATCACTTCTAAAGCACTTTTAAAAAGACTAAAATGTCCAGCACTTTTCTGTGCAAAGAAAGTGTTTTTAAATAACTCCATATGAGGGGAGCATATTATAATGGTGGAGCATTTTAATTATAATGGTGGAAAATGGCATATTTTGGCAGTGTTCACCAATTTCTGTGATATCTATAAATCAAGTCCTCTGATATTTAAGTAAATAGGCCAATTCTTCTCATCATTCCCAATGCTAGATGTCCTCCTGATCTAATAATCAGGAATAATGATAATGAAGACCTCCTGGAGGTACCTCACATCCCTAATCCTTACATAGGTTAATTTATTTGGAGAACACCCCGAGCAATGGTTTCTGATTAATTCTACCATATATACTTTTTTTGGTGAATCTACCTATTCTTCTACTGATTATTTTATATTTATGATTTGCACCCCAAATATTCCACATCCTGGACATGGAGCACACGGGGTGAGGGGAAAGTCTTAGGAGACATGTGGGTCTCAGTTTGGAAGCAGCTCTGCTACCAGTCAGAGGTCTCTGAACCTAAGAGGCCTCTGCTGAGTGTTATGTGTAGTATGGTGTACATGTTACATTACATTATCATATTGTTTATCAGGTAATGATCAGTTAGATAATCTGAATATACAATCTTTTTCTTACTTCAAACAGATATAACTACAGATGTAGGTCTAAGGAGAGATATAGAAATATAATGCCAGACATCAGGGCTCATCAGAAATATATTTCCTAGTTTACAACAGTGTTAATTTATTAACTTCAGTGTCTAGAGCCAGGGGCAATTGGAATACAAAATGCTGGCACAAGAGGGATTTCCTGAGACCACTGGCCCTCTGTTGCAGGCAGAAGTTGACTTTCATTGTATTCAGTGCCAAGGCACTTCTCTGCCTTCTGAAATTCTTTGCTCCCAGGTGTAGTCCCTGTCCCTGCTTCTCTGTGGCCCATCCCCACAGCAGTGGGAGTAACTGGAGCACACCCACCATGGTTCTTAGGTCCTAAAGCCTTCTCCAGCTTCCAGCTCATGAAAGAAGGATTTGAAATACTAAAGGTGTAACTTTAACTCATCTACAGATTTTGTTAAAAGTCAAACATTAAAAAGAAAGTGAAGGTTTGGGAGAAATCCCTGTTAACCACTTCAGCACAGACCCAGGGAAAAGGAAGAGACGTGAAGAATCTGGCTCTGTGGGCTTCAGGTGTTAGGAATCTGGAGATACTGAATCATGTTCCAACTGACACCCATAAGTTAAAGATCAGCAGGATGGTCCACTGATAAATGTTGGCAGTCATTTTCTGAACAAGAAAAGACTCCACAGTGCTTATTACAAAACCTCAGTTCCAAAACAAGTCAGAAGGCACTGGAAATCCTCACTTGTTCTCTTTCCTCCTCTGTGAGGGGCTCCGACTTGGAGGAGCACCTGTGTCTAATCCAGTCTCATCTCAACACCTCCAACAGTACCAGGCATGCTCTAGGCACTGAAGAAGTGGTAGAATTAATTAGTAAAAAATGAGTATGCACCCAAAGAAGGCAGAGAAGTGTCTTGGCACTGAAGACAGTGAAAGCCAAGTTCTGGTACAAAGTGCTTATTCTTTACTTTATTTTTAAATTTTTTTTAAGTGGATGCCTTCATAAATTTGACTCTATTCTCATGTATACTACTTGAATGGAATTGGTGAGTAAGCAGTACCTGGGTAGGGAATCTTCCCGTAGGTGACGATTTCGTACAGGAGAATTCCAAAGGACCATACATCAGACTTGATAGTGAAACATCCAAAGTTGATTGCTTCTGGAGCTGTCCACTTA